TCCCGATTCCCTTGTCCAATGTTTTGGCTGCACAGCTATTGTTTTATACAATTCTTTCTCACCACACTGCTAGAAAGACAGCAGAAGTGCTCATAAAGCATCATAATGTTCATCTCAGCAAGGAATAAAAGCCAATTGTCAAAGAAGGAGTGTGTTGACAGAGGATGGGCGATGTCCTAGATGAGTACCTGTTGGTGATTTCTAGTAGCGGTTTCAAAAAATGGCATGGACAAAAAAGAAAGTGGATGTCTCAATAGAGAAAGCAAGTTCATTTACCTCCCTCTTCTGAATAGCTCTTGGCAGTTTTCTTCATCTTTTTCATAGACTTGGTTGTCTACTATTTTGATGTGCCAGATATGTTGGACTTCAGCTCTTGGAAACCCCAATGGTCATGGATTCTGGAACCTAAGCATCTGGAGGACCAAAAACTGTGCATCACTGGTCTGTTCCACCTTAGTCATTAGTTCTACTTAGAATTTAAAAGCTGAAGTCTCTTGGCTGTCTTTTAAATGAGAAAATAGGTGATTTTGTTCTACTCCCAGCAACTTTCTTTTTCTATCCCAGAAGTCCTTATGTGCCTGTGCCTGTGAGTAAACCCTATTGAACCCTGTTGAATGTCCTTCAGAGCATCCAGAAGACTTACTCTCAAATTGTTGTTGTTGTTGCGTGCCATCAAATCATTTCCCACTTATGATAAACCTTAGGCAAACCAATAATAATAATAATAATAATAATAATAATAATAATAATAATAATTTTATTTTTATACTCCACCTTTTGCCGTGGCAATCAAAGCAGCTTACATCTATTATGGGGCTTTCTTGGCAAGATTTGCTTAGAGGAGGTTTGCCATTGCCTTTCCCTGAGGCTGAGAGCATGTGACTTGCCCAAGGTCACTCAGTAGGTTTCATGGCTGATCTAGGAACTGAACATTGGTGCCCAGAGTCATAGTCTAATACTCAAACCATCTTTAAATACACACACACACACACACACACAAGATTTCCATCTAAAGTGATAGTCCAAAAGTAACGTGATAGTAGTAGAGTGAAAATCTCTGCTAGTCCAGATACACTACTTTACATATTTGTGAAAACCACTTGTGTGAGAGGCTGCTCACGAGGTTGTAGAAGCACCTGCACAACCATCATTGCCCACCCTTTTGTGCTACAGCTTTGCACAGCTGCTTCCATGTTATAAATAATATTGAATACCACTCTTGTGGCAATTCTGAAAATTTACTAATGCTAGCCCAATGTGCCTTCTGCTAGTACAATGGTATAATATAACTCCATGCTTATGTTTTTCTGGCAGAGAAGTTGGTAAGACCTTTCCATAATTGTATTTAGGGTCATGTTTTCAGTTGTGAAATGTTGATGTCCTATGGAGTATATGGTGGAGAGTCCTATGGTGAAAAGTGTTGGTGTCCTATGGAATATAAATGTGTTGTTGTTGTGTGCCTTCAAGTCATTTTTGACTTATGGCAATCCTATCACAGGGTTTTATGGGCTGAGAGTATGTGACTCATTCAAACTCACCTAGTGGGTTTCCATGGCCCAGTGGGAATTGAACCATGATCTTCAGAGTCATAGTCCAACGCTCAAACCACTACACCACATTGCCTCTCCATGGAATATAAATTGCAGCCCTTCAGTTTGACTTTATTTTTATGAGTGATGTAGGATAGAATATCAGATGGCACATGTCAAAACAGGCTAGAGTTAGGATTTTGAATTATGTATAGTGCAAAAGATTATGCCTTAATTCCTTCCAGTAAGGGCAGTGCAATGGGGCTGAGTTCAAAAACATCCAATTCCCTTACCCTATAATCATGCAAACTATTCTCATCATTTTGCAACTTTCTCCTAGGGTGCATCTACACTGTAGAAATAACGCAGTTTGGCACCACATTGACTGCCATGGCTCCATTCTACAGGGTCCTGGAATTTGCAGTTTTGCAAGGCACCATCACTCTTTGGTGCTAAAGGCTAAAGACCTTGCAAAACTACAGATCCTAGGATTCCATAGGATGGAGCCTAAGCACTTAAAGTGGTGTTAAACTGCATTATTTCTGTAGCATAGATGCACCTTTAGAGCTGCTGTTTTGAAGCTGCCTTTGGCCCCTACTAGGAGAAAAGCAGGGCATTTGATAGATCAATAGATAAATAGATCGATAGATAGATCGATAGATTGAATGCCCTTTTGGGTCCTTTTTGGATGCAGAGCAAGATGCGCTTCTGTGCTGCAGAAGCAATGTCTGGAATGCAGGCAAAAAGAAGACTACAATCTAGTTTCTCCAGTTTCTCTTAGAAAAGTTCCAGGGAATGGTCTCAAAAACAACACTAAACTCCATGCCCACATGGGAAACCATTGGTTCTCCAGATGTTTGGGACTTCAGTTCCCCAAATCCCCAGCCAGCTTGGCCAGCAAAAAGAAATGATGGGAATTGATAGGGGTGGAGAGCCAAGGATTCCTCAGCCATGCGCTAGGCCAGTAGTACCCAACCTTTGGTCCACCAGATGTCTTGGACTTCAGCTCCCATTATTCCTGACTGTTGGCCAAATTGGCTGGGACTTCTGGGATCTGAAGTCCAAAACAAATGGCGGACCAAAAGTTGAGAAGCACTGCTCTCAGTGTCAAGATCGAGGGTATGCATGAGATGATGGAAGCGAACAGGGATGCAAGATAGGGTAAGAAAAGATAGGCATGCCAAGTTATCACTTGGAGAACTTTCCTCTTCGTGCCAAAGCAAGCAAGCAAGTAGGCCATCTCTGTTGCTAAACAGCTGTGAAAGAGGAATGTGTTTGTTTGTTTGTTTTTTGCCATCATGATTAATAAATATAGATATCGTATTTGACATATCAGACCTTGGGACTGATGGAGAAGGTGGTTTGATGTTAGAGTTGATTGAAAGGGGACATGACATTTGGGCTTGAAGGAGATAGGAAGGCACATGTGATCATCTCAAGATGCATGAGATCTCTTGGCTTTGCTTGCATTAAGCGCATTCTAATATTTTGGGTGAGAACTCCCATCACCCAGCATCATCATACTGGCGGTGAGTGATGGGAGCTGTAGTCTCACTCATCTGGACAGTGCCAGGTTAGGTGATCTCTACATTTTCATCATGGGGGAGTTGTTGTTATTGCTGTGTGCCTTCAAATTTCTGACTTATGGTGACCCTAAGGCAAATCAATCACAGGGTTTTCTTGGCAAGATTTGCTCAGAGGAGGTTTGCCATTGATTTCCCCTGAGGCTGAGAGCATGTGACTTGCCCAAGGTCACCCACTGGATTTCATGGCTGAGCTGGGAATTCCCCTATAACTGGGATACAAAATAGTTTACAAATTAAAAGGACTGTACAATTAAAAACATACAAAAGTGAACGTTAAAATAGAATTAAACTAGTACAGTATTAAAACATGTCACTTGTTAAAAGAATAAAATGCAATTAAACAGATAAAAGGGCATATTACATACATATACATATTAAAACAATTAAAAATACTAAAATGTATTGAAACATTAAAAATAAAGCAATATACAGATCCTTAAAAGACTACAAAATTACAACTATTTGTGAAGGTCTGGTGGCACAAAAATATTTTAACTTGGAAAGACAGCAAGGACGGGGCCATCCTGGCCTTTTTGGGGAAGGAGGGTTTTTTTTTGTGATTCTTGCTTAGCTGGATATATATCCATAGGCACCTTTGTTGGCTGCCCAACAAAATATAGCAAAATCTCCAAAATGCATTGCAGTGGTAGCTTTATTAGGCCAACCAAAAGGCAAAAAATACAGTACATTATCCAAGGTTTTGAAGCTCACAGTCTTTTTCATCATGTATGGATCTTAAAAGTCACATATCACCTGAAATTGCCTTTGTTTTTTGCTTTTAACAAGTTTACTGCTTATCTCTCTCCCCGACCATCGTAAACTCAGACGCTGATCTGTGAGACTCCCATCATTTCATTTCTTTTACTAGGGCTGCATCCGCATTGCAAACCATCCAGTTTGACACCACTTTAACTGCCCTGGCTCAGTGCTATGGGATTCTGGGAAGTGGAGTTTGGTGTGGCAGCAGAGCTCTCTGACAGAGAGGGCTAAATGTCTCACCAAAACACAGTTCCCAGAATTCCATTGCATTGAGATGTGGCAATTAAAGTGGGGTCAAACTGGATTATTTCGGCAGTGCAGATGCAGCATAAAATGCATCTATGCCTGATGATGAAGCCTGTGAGCGTCAAAATTTTGTGTAATGTATTTTGTGCCTTTTGATTGATCTAATAAAGGGATCAACACAATTTACGTGTGCGTGTGTGTGTGTGTGTGCATGTGTGTGTTTTGCTGTTCTTTATACTCCTTTTTTGCACTTTATACTTGGGAACGTTACTTTTTTTTTTTTGGACAACAAAAATCTGGATGCTGTAATAAGAAAAAGTAATTTCGTCATGCTGTGCTTAGGTCCATCCCAGAGATCTGTAACTGTACAAGCTCAAAATCATATTCCGCTCCCTTCTCCATTTCAGTATGCTACTTGATCCATGCAATTAACTGTCGCCATTCATCTAATGAAGATGCTGCCCGATTTTCAGCAGTGCATCCAAATTTGTCGTTTTTGTGGCTCCCTTCTTCACAACTCAATGGAATGGATGTCTGAGGATTGTTTTGAGTGAACCAAAGCGGCCGCAGCCCAGAGCATTTGTCTGTCGGTCGGTCGGTCGGTCGGTCGGTCGGCCCTTCAATCGCTCTTTGCTCTTCTAGCTGCAAGCCTTGCTTCCCTCCGCTCTTGAGCTTTTTCTACTCAAAGTCGAGATGGTTGCACTTATTAAGAGCTATTAATACTTAGTCATCTGGCAGATTTAATTGTGCCAATATTAAAAATGCATCAATGTCAAATTTCGTTCATTAAATATTTACATTTTCAAAGGGAAACTGTTTTGCTGCTGTTTTAATATCATTTTGGAAAGCTTTATATAGGACCTAATTAAAAAAAAGCTAACACAAATGATGCTAATGATGGGGACGGCTTTTGACAAACCAAGCAGTGTTGTTGTTGTTGCTCTTTATTTTACTGAAAGGCTAACAAAGTGCCTCTGCGCCCTTTCGTTTTCCTAAAACACAAGCATCAAACTGAGTTGCTGTGTTTTTACGTTAGTCTTGCATACATGTGACATGATTTGTTGATTTTAACTACAGCTCCCAGAATCCCCTGACAACCACTATCTCCCAGTCAGCATGGCATGGCGACTAGATATACTAGTTAATAGATTCTGGAAGGGACCCCAGAACTATTTTTAAAGGGTGGGTCTTGAACACATGGCATAGTGGTTTGAGTGTTGGACTACGGCTTTGGAGACTAGGGTTCAATTCCCGGCTCAACCATGAAACCCACTGGGTGACCTTGGGCATGTCACACTCTCTCAGCCTCATGGGAAGGCAAGGACAAACGTCCTTTGAACAAATCCAGCCAAGAAAACCTCATAATAGCTTTGCCTTAGGGTCGCCATAAGTCAGAAACCACTTGAAGGCACACAACTACGACTTGAATGCTTGGGGCAGGTTGTTATTTTGCCTACTTGCAGATACCATTAGGCCTAATTATTTTCCCCATCCTGTCTCTGAAAAATGTTTAAATAATGAAGACTCTTACAAGCACAAAGTGTATTTCGAAGTGCCCCCCATGTGTTCGAAGAGCTGATGTGACATAGTGGTTTGAGTGTTTGACTGCAACTCTGGAGACCAGGGTTCTAATCCCAGCTCAGCCATGTAAACCTACTGGGTGACCTTGGGCAAGTCACACTCTCTCAGCCTCAGAGGGTGGACATGCCAAACTCGCTCCAAAGAAACTTGCCATGAAAACCCCATGATAGGGTCGCCATAAGTCAGAAACAACTTGAAGTCATGCAACGACAACAACAATAGCCCATGCGTTCAGTGCCAAACAAGTGTGCATAGGGCAGATTGGAGGCAGCCTGCATTATTCTGCATTTTTCCTGGGAGAGCTCAACCACCATAGCTGTGGGTTAATAATTATTTGTGTCCCATACATTTCTGATTAATGTTTTCTGAGGATAGATCAACTACGTTGGAGTCTTGATCCAATTTTGGTAGATCATTTCGGGGGAGAGTCAGCCCCTCCATCGACTCTTGGGGACACTTGAGCCTCTCTGCGTCTATGGCACATGGATTCTGGGTGCTGTAGTCCAAAATGGTAATTTATTTCCTTCAGTTGCATGAATGGCGGAGGTGGGGGGGGGGAATGCAGATCTTATTCATCACAATGCAAGCTTAAGAAATACTTTAAGTGAGTTTCTCCTGGGAGTAAGAACGCATGAGAGTGAGTCACTCCTGAGCAATTTCTCTCTCTGTGCCTTTTGATTCACAGCCAACTATGTATTTTTTTTTGGGGGGGGGAGGCAGTCTCTGCAGTCCCAATGAGGTCCTGCAAAACTACTCATTGTGTAAATGTGACGTAGTGGATAGAATATTAGGTTGGGACTTGAGAGGGCCAGGTTCAAGTTATCAGTGTTCCAGAACACTCTGCAGAAATAATCCCGTTGGTTCGGTGTTTGTGAATTTTGGAAACTAGTTTTATTGTGGCACCAGAGCTCTCTGACAGAGA